CGCTGATCCATCAAGGCTGCCAGGCATCTGAGGACAGAAGGACAACCCTAGCATAAGAGAAGCGAGGCACTCCGCAAAGCCAGAGCTGCAAATGCTGCAACAGTGGTGCCCACACATTTCTGCCCAACATGTGGCAGAACCTTTCGTGCCCATATAGGCCTCACTAGCCACCTGCAGACACGTCATGGACAGCCCACAACCTGTTAGATGCCAAGGTCCTCTTTGAACACAATGGACGAACATTATGGTCTCAGCAAGTTTAAACCAATTTGTGGACGGACACTAAAGAGACGATTCTGACTGGAACCCACCATTTCCCCCATCTATTTTAGATGGGGAAAACATATCCAACTATTCATAAATGGAGAGATGGACATGGATATCCAAAATATGATAGACATTTTTAAGCTGAACATCCCAATACTCAGCTGGGAAAGAAGACTTACTTTTCCAAGAATTCCAATTCCCCATAAGAAAATTCTAATTTCCATGACAAAATCCCCAATGAAAACTCCTGTTGCGGTTTTCAATCTGGATGGAATTTCACTTAGGAAAATTCAGTTTTTCTTTGTTTTGGTTTTAAAGATAAGATGTAATGGACGAATATGGCAACCTAGAAATAGAATGGAACTATAATACCTGTCCTTTTAAAGTGCAACTCTCACCAAGGATCTTTTAGAAGAATCATGGTAAGAGCTCCTCTACTCTTAGAATAAATACCCGTAATTGGCATCAGGTTCTTGAAATGTAATGTCCTTGCCTGGGTTGATAATTGTGGCCTGTAGCTTTCAGAGTATTGTTTTCAACCCGTTCTCCATTTTTTACCCTGTCTTTGCAAGACACATCAAGCACAGATTTTTCCAGCCGGAGATCCTCACAATTGCTAGAGTCATCTTCACATCTCCATTCTTCTATAACTTGCCCTTCAGGCTCATTACAAAGAGATGTCTGTGAGTTTCCTAGACTTGCACAAATACTTCTGCATTGGACTCCTCCAGTTCTAATTTCCAAACCTGTGGAAAAGTGCAAGTGGTGGTGACCTTCTGAGAACATTAACTGGTTGAAAAAGTCGACATCTCTGCTTGTAATTTCTTGACCTTCTCTACTAGCAGCTGAGAAGTCGTCTGCAAAGCTAACAGATTCATCCATAATGGAGTCCTCAGAAAGGAAAATCTCCTCTATGAGTCCAGAAGAAGCATCCGTTGTCATCCATTCTGCTGTAAAAAAGGGTTTTGACCTCATTGCAGCTGGCCAGCTTTCTCCACTTAGTTGGGAATCACCAGATCCAGAAGAAGAGCCGGAACATGTTGGAAAGGTGCCAACCATTGAGCAGTTTTCATCCTTCTTCTGAAATCGATGTGTTTCGGTGTAAGGAATGTGGCTACTACTATCATCCTCATCACTGCTTTCTTCACTTTCTTTTGATAAAGAATCCACCGAAAGAACTAACAGGGCAGGTGTGATTTTCTGTTCCAGAATGAAGTGGACATTTTTTTTGGTCAAATCCCTTTCATCAAATTCCAGCACGTTCTTTGGGTGCTGGTACGTAGAAAAATCCTAATTTGAGAAGGGGGAAGTAGGAAAAGAGAAGAGAGAGACACATTTTCATTTTTAAAAACTGAGAAACAAGAAGTAAGAAGAATAGCTAACAAGAATGGGTGGAGACCAACATAAATGGACATCTGCCTTAGCTACACCAAAAACGTGACTTGAAATTTAGAAATTTGGAAGAGAAGTATAATTAAGCTCATTCAACAAAAACCAGATGTGGAAGTTAAACTGAATTCATTTAAGATGGCAGCTAAACCAGTAATTTATTCCCCCTAATTGTTCACCAATTATATCGTAGGTTCTGACTGTAGAATGCTCAGTAGAGTAGCGTTTTGACTATAGGTGTGAAACAATAAAGCTTGGAAGAGCTGCCAGGTGCCAGAAAAAGGGGGAAGTGGCTATGCTTTTTCTTGATTCAGAGAAAGCTTCTGATAATTTGGAATTTATTTCTATAGCCGTGATCGTGAAGAAGATGAATTGTGCTGAGATTTTCTTTCAAGGATGCAGAGAATTTGCACAGGACATAAAGCTAAGATAATTGTAAAGGTATTTCTATCGTAAAATGCATTATTCAAAAAGAGAAGGTTCTCCCATCTTCTCTGTTTTTGATCGGCATTGCAGTCCCTGGCAAGGACGTTAAGGCAAGAGAGTCAAAATTCAGGAATTCCTCTCACTGGTTTCAATATCTTTGAGTAACATAGTTCAAACAGAGCCAGAAAAAGATGCCCTATTTAGAGATCCAAACAAATGAAATGCTCGTGAAACAAAACTCAGAACATCTGTTAAAGAATATATATTTCAGTTCCTTCTAAAACATGCTTAAGAAATGGAACAAGTCTAAGATTACATGATTAAATGGGTGCACAATTTAAACAGAACAACTGATATAGCACCATGAGAATGCAGTTAATCATTTAAAGAACATAACTGGAGTTTTTAAATGGCCCATTTTAATTTGAAACTGATCTTTGCACTTATTAATACACCATGCTAAATCTGAATTCTCTATAAATCTGGTTGCTATAAGCTAAACCCACTGGGGTCCTTCTGATGGGCAACTTGGAGGGGACCTCTGGGTGAATTTAATTTGGATAGGAACCAGATACCCTCAAGAATGGAATAATTGACATCAGATATCATTAGTCCAAGACACCAGCTGCTAAATGCCAGTTATGAATCCCATTTATATGAGCAAAGCTCACCCTGCTCAGTGACAGAGCATCTGTTTAAGATGGAGACAACCTCTAGGTCAGAGGTCTTCAAACTTGGCAACTTTAAGACTAGTGGACTTCAACTCCCAGAATTTCCCAGCCAGCTGGCTGGAGAACTCTGGGAGTTGAAGTCCAAAAGTCTTAAAGTTGCCTCGTTTGATGACCCCCTGCTGTAGGTCCACATTAGCATCCTCAGTTAAAAAGGTGTCAGGGCACAAGGCTGGGAATGAGATATCTCTAAAGGACTGATAACATTAAACATCTGTCCACAATGCAGGCCAATATTTATCATGGGGTATATTAAACAACAAGGGACATGATGGCTCGGTCAATCAGAAAGGTCATCAGTTCAGCAGTTTGAATCCCTAGAGCTGTGTAACGGAGTGAGCTCCCGTTACTTGTCCCAGCCTCTGCCAACCTAGCAGTTCCAAAACATGTAAAAATGAAAGTAGAAAACTAGGGACCACCTTTGGTGGGAAGGTAACAGCATTCCATGCACCTTTGGCGTTAAGTCATGCTGGCCCCATGACCACAGACACGTCTTCGGACAGCACTGGCTCTTCGGCTTTGAAACAGAGATGAGCACCGTCCCCTAGAGTCGGGAACGACTAACACATATGTGCAAGGGGAACCTTTACCTATATTAAACAATTGAATTCTTGGAAGAATTGCTGATCAGTGATCTTATTCAACATCAGCACTCTTGGCTAAGAAACAAGCAAGCAAATTTTGTGAACGTGGTTTAATCAGCAGAGGTTATCAATTTGTTACCTTCTAGATGTTCTGAAGAACAACTCTCACAATCTCTTATCATCAATTTTACTGCTATTTCTTCTGTACTGAACAAATGATGGTTGATAAGGCCAAAATGAATCCTGGCTGTTCTGCAGACAGTTTCTCAAAGGTAGTCACTCCCTTTAGTTACTAAAGAAAGCTTCTTAGGTCCCTTTCCTCTGCTAACTGTCTTCTTCTTTTGGAACCATCTGTTTTGCGGCTACTATATTTAACTTAACTGTGATCATGTCAACAGGACATGTAACTCGGGTTCTAAGCAAGAAGCAAGTAACATCAATCTCAGTTCAGTGCAGGCTCTGTGTATGAAAAGATGCACACTGTTATGGAAGTCAACTTCCCCCTATTCATCCCGGAAACCTCCCATACTGTCCATACCAAAGCTGAAGGCATCTCAACTTGCTTCCTTCTGCGTCTGTAGTAGAAGAAAAACATGGCGACACAAGTGCAGAGAACTAATACAGCAAGCAAAGGAAGGACAACATTTCCCCATTTTCTTACTGGAAAAGAAAAAAAAAAGCAATTATGAGATACTAAAATGCATTGTTAATTATCCAGCTAACTGAAGTTAGGCCACTGAAGTCCAACACTCTAGAGAATACCAGGTGCAAAAAGGCTGAGCTAAACAATACTTTCCAGTTTAACACAAACTAAGAATATCACCTAGGCTCCAAAGTTTCAACTAAGAATCTTTCCTAGCTCTCTTTGGTGATGTTGAGGACTGAAATAAGAACTTTTGCAGGCAATCTTCTTGTTCTGTCAATCAACTACTGTCCTGCTCAAATCTGATAGCCGTTGGGCATCTTTGTTGAGAGAATCATAGTAACTATAATGCCTGGAGGGAGATAGGAGGGAGAGATATAGTACCAGAGGTAGTATTGTACCAGTTTGGACTGGTTGGCCCGAACCAGTAGCAGCTCCATGGCATCCCATTTAGGCCCTTTTTTCACCAAAAGTGCATGCACAGAAGGCTGAGCACGNAGTTAGGTGGTTCGAATCCCTAGTGCCACATAACAGAGTGAGCTCCCGTTACTTGTCCAAGCTTCTACCAGCCTAGCAGTTAGAAAGCATGTAAACATGCAAGTAGAAAAAAAAAGGAACCAACTTTGGTGGGAAGGTAACAGCATTCTGTGCACCTTTGGTGTTTAGTCATGCCAGTCACTTGATCATGTAGATCAGACATGAAATCCTCTTATCTTCACTACCGGTTCGGTAGCGGGAGCGCACGCACATCTGGGCATGCGCAGAACCTTCTATTGAGGAGGGTGGGGGCTATATTCTGCCTTTTTAATATTTTCTAGAATATTTCATTGTTTTAGGATAGGAGTGGGTACTAACTTCCTACACCTCTTTGCATGTTTATTTCTATAGTGGTTAGATACCTGTCCCCCCTCCCCCGCCCATGGCTATTATGTTTTATTTTCCTTCAAAGTATTTCTTTTCATTCCACTAAAAGTAAACTTCACAAAACAGCAAGGTATTAGGTTTTTATTTGTCCTTTTAATGTTCCTTCTTTTGCCATGACTTCTCACACCTTTTGCAAATATGCCTTTATTTAGCCATTTATGACTTCCTCCTGGATTGATTTTGAACCTTGAAAGAGTTCTCTGTTACCCACGTTGTTTATTTTAAATTAAGTGTTTACCTTAACAGCAGTGATCTACCCTAAAAAAACACTTTAATTTTAGAATCATTTTGAAATCTTCATTTAAATAGCAGCTTCTGTTTTGTGCATTCTCTTTCCAATCAGCAAGCTTTTCTATTTATGGATGCACTTGTGCTTTCTTTTCTTAATTTCTGCAAATAACTTTGGTTGCAATGTCTGTTCATTTTAGTTTGAAAGTCGCAGCATTTATTTCTAATTTATTTCTGCTTTAAAATACCTGGTTGGATTGAGGACGGATCCAAGATTGAATCATAGAGAATTTTGTGAGGATGAAGGTTTGTTCTCCGAGCTTGTGGGTTGGTTTCCAAACATTTTGTTACCAGGTTAAGTAACAACTACAGTGGAGTTTAGGGAATGCCAGTGTTGATATTCTTCTGTTTATAAAAGCTTCAGGTGTGGTCAGTGGTGGGTTCCAGCCAGTACGGCCCAGTAAGGCCATACAGGCAGTAGTCCGGAGCAGTAGCCACCGCACTGGTACGGTAGCTCATTTGGCTCACCCACCCACCTGCCTTCCATACCTGTTTTTAAGGCAATAGGGCCAATTGCGAATGTGCACACAGCGTGCGGCGACTGCGCAACCCCCGATGAGCAGCTGGGTGTTGCAGGGGTGGTGAAGTGCACGTGTGCACAGTGCATGTTGGGCATGTGCACATCCTGTATATGCACAAATGGACCACGAGCAGTGTATTGGTAGTGCAGGTAATAGCAACCCACCACTGGGTGTGGTCAGTAGGTGTTGTCAGGTGTGGGAGTGTCAAGTGAGGGTTTTGTGATGGACAAGCTCGGAGAATGAACCTTCACCCCCATCCTACACCCAAGCTATGGATTTGCCACATAAAATTGTGTGTGTGAGCATAGTTTACTGATTATGTTGCCATTATTATTTTAGATTCATCCATGTATGGTCTTTATCTAGAACTAATTCTTAGTTGTGTTAATCTCTTTGATCAATGTTTGAAGCTTTGATCAATGATTGGAGTGCTATATAAGCCTAGTTAAAATTAATGAATGCTTTCAATCATAGTGGCTGCCTGCTTGGTGGGTTTTTCTTTTTGATTACCCAAGGATACACATAGTCTTTGACTTACAACCACCTGTTTAGCAACATTTCAAAGTTAGAACAGCACTGGAAAAAATAACTTACAATTGGTTAGTGGTGAAATTCATTTTTTTTTACTATGTGTTCTGTGGGCGTGGCTTGGTGGGCATGGCAAGGGAAGGATACTGCAAAATCCCCATTCCCTCCCCACTCTGGGGCCAGCCAGAGGTCGTATTTGCCGGTTCTCCGAACTACTCAAAATTTCCGCTATCAGTTCTCCAGAACCTGTCAGAACCTGCTGAATTTCACCCCTGCAATTGGTCCTCGTATGACTGTTGCAGCATCCCTAAAGTTGATGTGATGAAAATCTGGGTACTTGGCAACCGGCATGTATTTATGTGTTCTGTCCCGGGAACACATGATTACCATGTGCAACCTTCCCAGTTGACTTCTGGCAAGTAAGGTTCTTGTTTCCCTTAACAATGGCCAGAGAAGGTATTCAGCCACTTCTGACTGGTTCTTACGAACCAATAGCGGAAATTTTGAATAATTCGAAGAACCAGCAAATACCAACTTTGGCTAACCCCGCCCCTCATCTATTCGCTGCCTCCCAAGTCCCAGCTGATTAGATGGGTCTTCTTTTGTTGCCCTGCACAGGAAAATGTTTAGTGGGGTGGGGAGGGAATGGAGATTTTGCAGTATCTTTTTCCTGCCATGCCCACCAAGCCACACGCACAGAACCACTGAATCGGGGATTCCTGTAACAACCGTGGGAAAACATGTTGTAAAATTGGGTGCAACTCACTTAATCACTTTGCTTAGTAACATAAATTCTGATCCCAATTGTAGTCATAGGTCTTATGACAATGGATGATCATTGTCAAACTAGTTGGAGAGATTTTAGTAAAAAGTTGCAGGTTCTAATTGTTTATTAGGGGCTGAAAAACATCCCGGATGAGTCCCTTGTCTGGAACTGTTACTAGGAAAACTGGATGCTTGTGTCCATTAAGTCATCAGGAGTCAAGTGCAAGGCAGAGATTTTAATGATTTACAACCTTCAAGGCAGCTGCAGTTCATTAGGAGAAACTTTCTCTCTGGATTCTAGATGGTGATTTATTCTCCTTGAAGAAATATGCCTTCTAACAGAAAAAGGTGAGCAAATGTTGTTTCATTTCTTTCCTTCTTTTTTCCTTTTTGATCAGATTCAAATATGCAAGTACCAAAGATATAACATAGCGCCACTTTCATATAATGGCTAAGGCCTCAGGCTGATGTATGCAGTGCTAACTACCCTGATGTATGCCAGTGAGAATTGGGCTGTATACAGGAGGCATGCTAGGCATTCGAATCACTTCCAACGACCTTCTGCCATAGAATACAGAGGATCCGGTGGCAGGACAAGGCACCAGACACAGAAGTCCTTTCCAGAGCAGGCCTGTCATCCGTTTACACCTTGCTGATGAAAACCCAGAGACACTGGGCAGGCCATGTTGCAAGGATGCCAGACCATCGCATCCCCAAACAGCCCCTCTATGGTCAGCTGTCTCAAGGAAAGCGATCGCACGGGGGGACAAAGGAAGCGATACAAAGAGACGTTGAAAGCCTCCTTCAAGTCCCTGGAAATTGACACCACCCCCTGGGAAACCCTGGCACAAGATCAATCCACGTGGCACACGCTGATCCACCAAAGCTGCCAGGCATCTGAGGACAGAAGGACAACCATAGCACAAGAGAAGCGAGGCACTCCGCAAAGACAGAGCTGCAAATGCTGCAACAGTGGTGCCCACACATTTCTGCCCAACATGTGGCAGAACATTTGGTGCCCATATAGGCCTTACCAGCCATCTGTGGACACATCATGGATGGCCCACAACGTATTAGATGCCAAGGTCCTCTTCAAACATGATGGACAAACATCATCCTCATCATCGAGGCATCAGATTGAATTTTAGGCATGCCTTAGGTACAAAGCCAGCAAGGGTGACTTTGGGCTGGTCACTCCCTCTCAGCCCTAAGGAGGAGACAATAGCAAACCACTTCCAAAAATCTTGCCAAGAAAACTGCAGGGACTAGTAGTCCATGCAGCGCCCCCCCTCCCCGAATCAACACACCGACTGCCAATGGTATATAACAGTGTTGTATCGCTGGAGTGGCACATCTGGATGCCTTTGCATGTTTTCCCTTCTGCAAATCCCCCCACATTGGGTAGGCCAAACCATGGCTTTTCTGAGGACCAGGCATAGGTGGTTCGTAAACCTAGACATGGTTTTCTGAAAGGGGGCTTCAGTGGGGCAGCCGAATTAACTCGCGGGAAGCAGAAAGCCAAGGCGTCCTTATGGCGCTATAACCTCCGCGCCTTCCAGATGCGCTCCCATCCCACTTCTCAAGCAGGATGACCCACACCCTGGGGATTCTGGGAGTCGTAGTTCCCAGAATTACGGAGGACAGAGGCAAGAGAGGCTTATATAACACAAGCAATGCGCGGGCTGTTCAAGAGCAGCGATGCTGTTTTTTAACAGTCATGTGGTTTAAGGGGGGGGAAGAGAGAATATCCATCCACGCTTTAAAACAAGCACGCGCCTCCCTCCCGCAGCGCTCCAGCATCTTTCACCGCGACCCCCCACCCTCCCCGCTTTCTCCCTCTTCAACGAGCCGCAGCACGTCCAGCCAATCAGAACGGCGGCTTCGGGAGCCCAGCGCGGTCTCGCCGGCCTCTCTGGTAAACAAAAACGGGCGGAGGAGGGGCCGGCGCTAGAGCAACCCCCCTCCCGTTGCCGCGCAGCTCCACCCCCCAG